AAAGGGCAGCAAAAGTGGTGTGTGCCACAACTGTGGCAAGCCAGGGCATTACGCCAAAGACTGTTGGAAGCGAGTTCAACAGATCGAGGAACATCCAAATCCAGGAGGAGCATCGAGTTCATCAACAGGACAAGTTGGTGGTGGAGGTGCGCCACAGACCACATCAGTGAAGATGGTTCGCATTGCAACTCCACCTGATGCACCATGTACTGAGGTCTTTGACCTGACGACACCACGTACGGCTGCAGACAGTGAATGGCATCCATGGAGAGTGCAGATGGTTAGACTGGTTGATGACTTTGAGGGATCAGAGCAGCTAGTCGAGCACGAAGTCGAGATGATGGAGGAAGAGGTGTTCTATGACTGCTTGGAGCCTTCAGTCTGGGCACCCGAGGAAGTCCCCATTATTGATTGCACTGGACTTGCAGCAGATTGAGACTGAGGAGATCACCCTCCATATGATCCAGATGGTCAGTGTGGGAGATTTGGACGAGGAGTCATGCTTCGTGACACTTGACAGTGGAGCTGACGTGTCAGTGTTGCCAGCCAACTATGGCAACGTTGGAGAATGGAGGCCAGGTGCAAAAGAACTGAAGATGGTAGACGCCCAGGGAACGAGGATAGCACACCAAGGCTTGACACGAGCCAAGGTGAGGGTGAAAGATGTGAACGGCAAGGAGGTCGAGATCATTGAAGAGTTCGTTCTTGGAAATGTACAACACCCCATCATGTGTGCTGGCAGATTGCTTCGAAAGGGTCGAAAGGGTTGGAGTATCCAGTCAAAGGAGGATGGTCTTCAGCTCTGTCATGCTGATCGAGACATCACCATTCCCATCAGCAATGAGCGTCACTCACTGCAGTTCGAAGCAAGGATTTATGGAGTGGAGCAGAGAAGCAGCCAGAGACAATGGAGAAGAGGGTGATGGTGCTTCGAGGTTATCTCAGCCGCTACGTGGAGGAGTTGGAGTTTGTCCCCGGTTGGCATAGGTTGCCAAACGGGGTGATAGCTCACAGTGACCCAGTGGCCGTCTACATGGTCGACCCCAGTCAAAGCATTGAAGGAAACTGGAGAGCTCGTATGACATTGATGAAAGACAAAGATGGTCTTTGGAGGCAAGTGGAGAACACAGAGAACTACAAGGAGCAAGGTGAGAAGGCTTTCAGGAAAGTGAGCACAGACAGGAATCCGGAAAGGATGCTGACGTTTTTCTCGCCCTACAAGCTCCTGGACTACTGGGCTCCAAACTCAGAGGTACCAGTGCATCCGTACCCAGAGCCAACAGGTGAGATCAGGCACATTGAATGGTCAGATGAAGAAGAGCAAGAGAGAGAGAAGAGGAGTTGGAAGAACAGGTTGAGGCTCAGGACATTGAAAAGAGGTATGTCCTGGAGAGAGAAGATGAGGTTGAGCTCGACGAGGTGATCTACAGTGAAAAGAGCACAGTGAAAGAACTACAACTGGCATGCAAGGAACGAGGATTGCCTTGCACTGGTAGCAAGAAGAGGTTGTTGTCAAGGCTCATTGGCTTCAAGGTCGACATAGAAGACAAGTTTCAGATGAACATTGCAAGCAAGTTGTTTAGGGAACAACAACGTACACCAATGACCTTGGGACAACCAAAGCTGCCATCTTTGCCGGAGCAAGAGCTTCATTTCGTCACCCATTGGCCCTATGCACCATGGTGTCAGGCATGCATGGCATCAAGAGCGAAGGAGGACAAACATATGCCACAAGAAGGGAAGCCTGACCTAGGGACAGCCATCATCCAGTTGGACTTCATGTACACCTACACCAGAAGCCGCATGGAGGAACCGACACAAGGCAGGGTCCAGGAACGGCAAGATCAGTTTGGCACCTGTTTGATCATGGCTTCAACAGAGACCAAAGCAATTCATGTGGTGCCGGTACCCAGCAAGGGCACTGCCAGTTTGAAGCAGGTGACCGAGGAGGTGATTCATTTCTCGTTGGAGAACGCAGGAAGAGAACAGTGCATTTTTCAGGCAGATTCCGAGAGAGCGACTCGCCAAATCCTGAGGTCGGTCCAGCAGGTGAGAAAGGTGATGGGACTACAGACTGAAATTCGTCTCACAGGAGCAGGACAACACGCCTCAAATGGATTGGTGGAAAGAGCTGTCCAGACAGTGAGGAGACTTGCAAATTGCTGAGGTCATTTGCAGAAGAACGAGCGAGGTTATCCATCTTGGGGGACAACCACCTATATCCATGGTCCTTCAAGCACGCATCGTTCTTGATCAACCGATATCGTGTGCTGGAAGGTGTTGGGCGAACAAGCTACGAGCTGGCCACAGGACATGAGTACAGAGGAAAGCTAGTGCTTTTTGGTGAAGTGGTCATGTACAAGAGGATGATCAAGCACAAAGGATCAAAAGTGTTTGAGCAGGGCATTTGGTGTGGCAAGCACTCCTTCAATGATTGCCACATTGTGCTGACGCCAGAAGGAGCATGTGAAGCAAGAACAATTCGCAGGTTGGCTCCAGAACAAGCTTTTGATGGCCCAGCTCTCATCACTTGCAGAGGATTACCATGGGCATATTCACCACAGGGCATTCTCATGAAACATGGAGGCCAAGCTCAAAAGTATCGCCAACCAACCTTGGAAGCTGAGATCCAGCCGGAAGAGCTTGATGACATTGCCCAAACGGTGGCTGCGGGACTAGTGACACCAGCACCAGGTCTTCATGTCGGCCAGAGTCAACAAGGAACTGGAATTGCAGCACCGGTACTGCCAAATCCATCAACGAAAAGGCAACAAGGTGATGTTGAAGAGGGTCGAATGTTGAAGAAACAGGACACCACCGAGTCACCAAGGAAGTCAGCAGAGAAGAGAGAAGCTGAGGAGGCAGAAGATGAGGCAGAGAAGAGGAAGAAGATTGAGGAGAGCAGTGAGGATAAGCCTAGAGATGCTGAAGTGCACATGGGCGAACCGAGGGATGCAGCAGCAACAACAAGACCAGCTGAGCATGAAGCTGAGGGTTCACCTAGTGGGAAGATTGCAAGGCTGTATCCGCCTCACTATGCTGGCATCCAAAGTATTGAAGTTCATGGTGACGAAGAGATGGGCTTGGAGCACATCCCAGAGGAGATGAATGATGAGATGCAGTACAGCTATGGAGGTGAAGAGGATGGGGACCCACCAGAAGTCACTCAAGAAGAGTTGGATGCTTTAGACAAGGAAGCAGCCAAGGTAGAGATCGAAAGAATGTTGAAGATCCCGGCCATGGAGGAGGCAACAAACGAGGAAGTGAAAGCATGTTCAGGGTATACCATTTCAACAAGACTGGTGTACACATGGAAGCACAGGGTGGAGCAAGGAGGATGGTTTCGACGAGCGAGACTCGTCGCAAGACAATTCAAAGCAAGTGTGGATGCTGAGCAAACATTCGCTCCCACATCGCTCATGATCATACCAAAGATGATGATCCACGTGCTTCTGAATGTATGCGCAGGATTCATGGCAATGACCTTGGGCATCAAAGATGCCTTCCTCATGGCTGATCAACCAGCTGAAGAAAAGGCTTTCATCAAGATCGACGAGAACGTGTTTCGATTGTTGAGGTGCCTCCCAGGTCAAAGAACGGCTGCATCACAGTGGTTTCAGATGTTCTCACAAGCTTGCAAAGAGTTCAAACTGGAGCAAGGCATGATGCAGCCTACGCTGTTCCTGAGACAAGGAAACACGTACTTAACGGTGCATGTGGACGATGTCTTCATGGTGGGAACGCCTCAGATCCTTCAGGAATTTGTGATGTTCTTGAAGAATGTGAAGAGGTGGAAGGTAGAGGCGAAGGGGCCGTTCACTGCAGGAGAGAAATTCCTATATCTCAAGAGGCAGTTCAAGATCACAGACGATCACTGCGACATCAGGTGTGACAGAAAGCAGTATTATGGGCTTGAGAAGGAATTGGACTTGTTCTGCAGAGCATATCGAAAGACGCCCCTTGATCAGAACTTCACAAGGAAGGATGATTCATCACTCCTGGAGGCAGATGAGGTGACAAAGTTCAGGAGCATTGTTGGAAGACTGATGTATATGGCAAGTGAGAGGCCGGATGCACAGTTTGGGATCCAGTGTTTGGCAAGGAAGATGTCAGCGCCAACAAAACAAGCTCTGAAGAATGCATGGCACCTATGCTCATACCTCCAAGGAACCATCGATTATGGTGTGAGATTGTCCAAGAGGGAGAAAGGAAGATCAGTGCTGGACACCAGAGAAGATGAGGAGATCAATAGCGGTCCTGCACATTTGGTGGAAGTCCTGACGGATGCAGACTATGCAGGAAACAGAGATGACAGAAAGAGCACCACATCGTTCCAAGTGTTCATTGACGGAAATCTCATTGAGAGCAGAGTCAGGACACAGAAAGCCATATCACTATCCTCAGGAGAAAGTGAGTTTGTTGCGGTGGTGGCAGGATGCTCGGATGGCATGCTGATCAAGCATTTGCTCAACAAGATGACAGGAGGAAGCTGCCTGATGAAGATCAGAACGGATAGCTCAGCTGCCAGATCCATGGTCCAGCGCCAAGGCATTGGACGTGTGAGGCATCTGGATGCATCGTTGCTATGGGTCCAGCAAAAGGAGAGCGAGAGAGCTTCCAGTATAGCAGCAATTCCGTCAGAGTTGAACAGTGCAGACATCGGCACGAAAAGCTTGACAAGGAAAAGGTTGCTGGCCTTGCTCTACATGATGAAGTTTGTGGACTCGGTTGGCGACAGAGTCGGCACTGAAGAGTACAACGACCTCGAGTACCAGTACCAGATCAAGAAAGGAGCCAAGAAGATGATGAAGTCAAAGGACATCCGCATCGGCCTACTGCTACTGATGGCAAACATGAATTCAGTGGCTGGAAGCCAAGTCGAAGCAGAAGAAAAGGCAAATACCGACTATGGATGGTGGGCACTAGTTTTCTGTGCCGTGATCGGAGCCTTGAGCACATTGAGGTGGCTTCGGATCTTCATGATTGAAGGTCTCTATGGCATGCTGGGTCGGATGATCAAGTATGAGACCTCAGCAAGGCAGGAGACCACAAGCCAGAAGTGCGATCAACAGACTCAAGCAAATGAGTGGATCGTTTCCTACATCTGGCAACAATATGAGGAAGAGAAGCAAGAAATGGAAGAGGAGATGCACGACATGCAAGCTGCATTGCTGGAAGCAGAAGAAATGATAGGTCATTTGCAAGAAGACCTGAAGGAGGTTCGACGTCAGCGAGACGACAACCTCAACATGTTTTTGAAGAGCCAGCAGCAGCAGATCAAGTTGGAGAAGAAGATATGTAATCTCCGAAAGGCACCGAGTGGACATGTCATCCATTTTGACAGCCGGTGCCGGTATTGGCAAAAGGCCAATGATGCTACATTTTGTAGTACGTGCCAGGATGAAGGGGCCGTGTTTGAATATGAGGGAAATCCAGAACATGATGTAACCACCCAATCATCCTGACACTTCCGACGCGCAGGCTCGAGTGTTTCCGGAAAATCGGTTGCGCGCTGCTTTGCAGTTCTGGGAAATCGTCAGGCTTGAAGTGCTCGGCTGGGACCGACTCATAGTTCTCGTTCGTGAAGGTGTAGGCGAAATCGAATGCTTCGACCTTGTGGCCAAACAGGCCTCGCACCATGACTCGAATGGCATGTGCGTCAAGTTGTGGTGGTCTTGCACCTCTCGGCTCGGCATGTTTGGCACTTTGATTTGGATTGGTTTTTACATTTTCTTTACTATGCCAGCTTCGAACTCCCACTTCATCCTCAGCTTGAAGTTGTGAAGCTGAAGGAGTAGTTTCTTCTTTGTTCCACTTGTAGGCAAACCTCTGTCAGAGCATGCCTTCTTCAACGTCTTGCCATCATCCTCTATCGTGCAGACTTTGTCATCGATGGCCACTTCTTTTGCAGGGTCTCTCTCGTAGTGTTGAGGTTCCTCCATTTCCAGCGCCCACTTGTCGGCGTCTCGACCTCGTACCAATCTTCATCATCCCACTCGATCTGATGCCAAGCATCCTTCACTTTCGGGAAGGGTGCTAAAGGAACTTCTCTGCCTTCTTCGTAGAAGTCTTCAAATTTCGAAGGCGAAAGGGATGTCAGGGTCCTCTGTGACTCTGTGGGTCCCACGAAGGTACCAAGTACCTGAATGCCTCTTTGCCCTGCTCCTTGTTGTTCTCGATTTGGCGCATCATCGTTGAGCATGCCCTCTGGGTTCAAAAACTTGTCAGCTGTGGCGTCAGAGTAGACTGCCACACCATTTGCCAATCTGTGCCATCCTGGGTTCCTTGAGATCGTCATGAGCCCCTTGCTCGTCAAATAGCCTTCCAAGATGTTCTCTTTCTATCTCTGGGCTCTCAGTGCGCCCTCTCACATCGTCATCTCCCCGAGCTTGCCTTTCTTTTCGAGTCTCTTGATCTCCCTCTTCACCACCAGCTCCTCATCATCTTTAACTTTGCTGATGCGCACCATTTCGATCTTTGCGCTCGTATGGATACTGTGGTTTTCCAAGTGCAGGGATCACGATGTCAGTCTTTGGATTTGTCAGGCATAGGCCGCACTCTCTATGCTCGGTGGCCCGGCCTTTCCTCGGGGGCTTGCCAGCGCACGACAGTGGCTGCTTCACCTGCCCCAGAGCCAACTGCTCTCGAATCTCCACTCTTCTGCCATCTGAGCTCGTCACCATGAGCTTGGCCTTCGTGATGCCTGCCGAGGAAATTTCTCTCCCCCGGGCGTCAATCATCTTGACCCTTGCATTGGGGTCATACTTTCCCACATTTGCATGCCCGTCCGACGGGCAGCACTGAAATGTCAGCACCTGAATCCAATGTGATGGACACGGTGTCATCTCCACTTGCTCCTGTCTCTTGGATAATCCTCGCGTGGTGCTGCCTCCTCTCTTCACTCCTGTCCTCCTCTGGAATCACTTCCAGACATCCACAGGGGCTTCTTTCATCTGAGTTTCTTGGGCTTGCTCGTCAGGGGCAGTCACCATGTAGACCCGGCTCCCTGGACCTTTTTTGAGGAGCAGTCACCAAATCGACCCGGCCCCCTCGCTCGAACCTTCAGTGAGGTCGAACAACTCTGTAGTTGTCATATCCGGTGGCGTCATGAGTCTGACCCTTCTCACGGCAGTAGACTGCGTGTCTTTCGATGACGCATTCTGGCCTGCTTGTCATCTTGGACCTGATTGATCCTCTTTGGGCTCCAGCGCAGACGCGCCAGATGTCTTTGCCTTGGCATCCTTTCCTTTTCCATCTTTTCCTTTGTCCTTCCCCTTGGGCTTTCCTTTCTCTGTCTTGCCTTCGCTCCGAGCACCTGCGCTCTCGCCCTCGAACGGGCTGCAGCCCGCGTCTGTCGTGAAGCTGGCGCCCGGGTCGCCGCCCACACACTGCTCTCCGACCTGAACCTCACACGCCTGGGTGAGCGGCGCATCGAGGTCATAGGCAACGGCCTTCCTCTGGCACGGAGCTCAGGTTGCAGTTGGTACCACGCTATATCACACTTGTCTCTCCTCTGACTGACCGCGTCCGGCAGCCCCGTCGCAGAGCCGGTACTTACCGGGCAGCCCTTCCACGACATCCGGCGCGCGAAGGAGTGCACCTATAAGGTATACCTGGAACTTCTTCGGCCGCGCTAGTGCCGACTCGTCGTTTTCGCAATCGAGGTTGGAGGCCGATGGAGTTCGGAAGCCGCCTCCTTCCTCCGTTTTCTTGCCCAGGCCCGTGCCCGCCAAGCTCCTATCGCCTTCCGACACGCCACCGCGCAGGCGCTTGTCAGCCGCTGCTCAACTCTCCTGACCCATGCTGCCATGCACCTTTGCAGCCAGCCTGCTTGACCCCCACACCGCCTCGACGGCATCCTCCCTCCTCTTGCCAGACCCCCTCCACAGGAGGCTCCGCCTGCGGGGGTGAGGCTGTCCCAGTGGCCTGGACTTGACCTCCCAGCACAGCCGGGGCCGCCGGTATACAAATGGCCGAGAGACACCGCGGAAAAAAGGAGCGAACAAAAACAAACAAAACAAAACTTCTTCAGACGCGCGAAGCAACTTCATCGCCCCTCTCAGACAAGCACGACTTGACTCAAACCCTGTTTGTAATGAGGAAGTGGCAGGGAGATTGTCCATAATAGATCATAATAGTGCCCATGATCAGGCTGCACGAACGATCCTGCCCGAAGGGTGGCGTTTGGGGACTTGAAATTTCCGATATGAAGTCAACACAACGATCAATTTCCTGAACTGGAAAGAGCTGCCTGTCCAAACTCCAAACAAAGAAAAATTGAATCTGTTGAACTGGAACAATGCGGGCGTTCTTGGGGAATATCGACCATGGTAAGTTAAAATTCATCGAAACATGTGATCGCTGCAACGTTCCATCCCGTTGTGCATGATTTCTCGGTGTCATTTTGTTATAGAATGTAAATTGTCAACACCACCTTTGTTCATAGATCTTGTGATTTGCTTGAAGGTGTTGTCCCGCCGGGTATTGAAAAGAAGATGTCGCGTTGGCCCAACAAGTTTGGCTCCAGGCTGTTTTGCCGGTTTTTTCTTAGAGCGCTGAGGGGCGCTTGATGGGCGCCTCGGCGCCAGATGGAACGAAAGAGGATCACGAGAAGCAGAGCCAGCCCAGCGATGCTTCGGCCAGCGCTTCGGCCAGCGCTTCAAACGCCAAGCCTGAGAAGGACGGGACCAGAGCGGCTGAAGCCAATGGAGCCTCTAGCTCAGCAAGCGCGCCTTCGGGAGCGCAAGCAGAGCAGACACGGGAACAGCCTGAAAAACAGGAGGAGGAACCGCGACAGCCGTATGTCCCGGCCAAATGCCATTATGAAGCCCTTGGCGTTCAGGCTGGTTATTCAATGCACTGAAAACAAGTTGGGACGGTTGGACCTCTATTTCCGCATATCAACCACACCCGACAAACTCAAACCAGTAGCATGGACCCAACTTGTTTCGGAAATGCAGCCTTCCAGGGGCCAACTCATAGTCCATGTGTGCTTTGGAGGGTGCCGTGTTACCAGGCAACCGCCACTGAGAGCGAGATCAAGAAGGCGCGTTGATGTGGTACATTTTTGGTGCGTGCCTCCATGACAGGAGCCGAGGAAGGGGGAAGGCTGTGAATTTACATGTTATTGTTTGGGCGTTCTGCCTGCCATGCCTGACTTGAGCAGGCTTACTATGATTTGAGCAGGGTGCATCATCCAGACAAAAATCAACAAGATCCGCACCTTGCATTGCAAAGAGTTCCAGTGAGTCCAGCTTTATTGAAAGACATCAGGATTTTACACAACCAAGGGACGCCAAAGTTCGATTCCAGAGGATCGGAGAAGCGTACCAGGAGCTGAGGGACAGAACGAAACGTGCTGCGGCTGCATCGTTTACTGTCTACTTCGTGGCTTAAAGATCGGCGCTGTTGCTGTAGGTTGTGTGCTTTTGATGAGGGCATTTCATGCAGGTTACATGCTTTTTGGAGCTTAGTACCTTCAACACCGTCAGGCCATGTCATGTGGTAAACAATGATACCTACCAATTGGCAAAGCAATCCAAAATGACTGCCCGTGCATCACGCACAACACAGAATCGAATGCAACAAGGGGTAGCGCACGTCTGAGGCTTGGAACACATCAGACATCATGATGTCACGATGGCTTGTCCGAGGTGCAAAATATGATGCCACAAAATTCCTCGAACCAATCTTTCAAAGCATAGGCTGGGCCGCCTGGGTTGCAGGTTGGAGCTTTGCCAACATTTGGTCCAACTCGACCTGAGTGGATTGGCCTTTGCGAGGCCAACCGGTGAACGAGATGGTGGCCAATTGGGTGTCGCAAAACTTGGTGCCAGGGGCGAAGGTAGAGAGCATGGAGATCGATCGAAGGTATGTGGAGCAGCTGAATCCCAATTTGTGCCTTGGAGAGAATAGAATGATGAGCAGCCAGGAGTTGATCAAACATGATCAAACCACACAGTTGATCAAGAAAGCTTTGTTCCATTTTCTGGTGGTTTTTTCTTTCAAAAAGTGACCAGGGGGTCCCGGGAGTCGCACTTTTTTCTGGCGAAATAGGGAAGATACGGATCAAACTCCCCGAAAGCAAGTAAAGTAATATATATATACTGAATGTATACATGCACACACATATTTATATACATATATAAATATATCTAAGTATATACATATATATATAGCTTATACAACTATAAACTATATGAATATATTGTGGAGACATTGATTGTTGTTCATTGAAGACAGCACTGGGGGCAGAAACGTGCCCCCCCAAAGTTGCAGACAACCTACACCCAGATGGTCTTCCCATGTTTCCTGTGTTTTGGTTGCTGTTTTGGGACTCTGAGTTGGAGACGCACAGGATTTCCACACTGCCCGTAAAGAGGGTTGAACAAACGGAATTAGATTTGCACCAATTTCCATATCTGCATGTTCTCGGAATCTGTAGTTGTTTTGGTGAGATGTGCAGCGAGATCTTGCAACAGGCGGGCTCTCCAGAATCATTGCCAAGCACAGTTCTACCAGTTTCACACCCATACTCGCGGAGAAGCTCAGTTGCATAGACATTGCAAATCCATCGTCAGTTTTTGTCTGAAGTCATGCCGTCCCACGTTTTCAGATGATGTCTATGAGATCACAGCTCCATTGAATCAGACGCCGGTAGGTGCAAAACACTCACCCTTCGAGGGCTCATGTTCGACTTTGATGGGCGTGCTTCTTCTGTTCATGATATGACTTCCTTTTCGCCGACGATGGGCTTAATTAAGACGACCTGGCTGCTCCAGGTTGTCTTGATCGTGGGGCAACCGGCGAATATCACAAGGGGGAGGCAGGCGTTGAGAGAGTTCATGGAAGAACTCACTGGGACCCGCGCTCCCAGAGATGGGTTGGTCTTCATCGTTCCACCGAACGGCTTGAATCGTATGCCGATGATGGCCGCCAATTTCCAGAACCTCTCCTGGCAGTTGCTGAGCTGATTGGTGCACTATATGTGTGAAGCTTTTCGTTGAAACATCCGATTCCTGAATTATCAATCACCACTGGAGGTATGGTGCCCACATCAACCAAGTGGCGCAGGATCGAATCGTCGCGCGGGGCGGCCCCCGGCTACCGGCGGTCGTGGCACAGCTGCAGCAGTGGATGGACTTCCGTGGAACGGTTCAGCCACTCGACGATGTGTGGGCCTAGGGTGTGATGTGCCGAAGCATTTTTTGGGCTGTGATCCAATTGACATACGGCGTAGAGACCAAAGCAAGAAGAAACAGAGATCATTTATGATCGTTCCATTATCTTTCTTTTTGCTTTTCCTTCTCTCGCAAAACGTCGAACAGCCGAAGAACAACATGATTTTTCAGAGAACCATTTGTCAAACAGATCGTGAGCGACATCAACCCAACGGGGGTTGAAAGCTCCGGTTATGCCACGATAAGCATTTTGATCCTCGCGGTCCAGTCACTAAATCCGCTTCCCATTGCGCCTGCGATGGCCACTAAAGGTTCCCAGATGGGCAGACGCTGGATGCCTGGCAATATGCACATGCGTGTGAGCTGGGCGGCATCACAGGCAGGATGAAGAGCTCAGCATTTATTGAGACTGGAATGAAACCAGGTGACTAGGTCATGGTGAGGCCGAATGGCATGCCCAACTAGTGCAGACAGTCGACACTCAAAAAGAACTCTGCTTGTGTGACAGGTGGCTTGGAACCACCCAGAGAGCCTGATGCAGCTGCTGCCCGCGGGTTGATGTGTCATGCCCTGCAAATGGCCACATCGGAGCAGCCCTTGAACTTGCTGCAATTAGCAGTGAGATGTTTGCAATCCAAGATTCAGCTTACCAAACCCTTGGCACGAGCCGTCTCCTGTGAGTCAGTCTATGCCGAGTACCAGCGCTTGCCCAGCAAGCAGGGTGCACCCTTGGTGTGCGCTTTTGCTCAAAAGCTCATCAGTCAAACCGTAACGTTTCATCGGAATTTTACCACGGATTCCAATGTGCAGACCCTGATGCGTTTGGGCCCTTTTCTGGATGGGAACGATGGCATCGTTCTGAGATCAAAAGGATACATTGCAGCCAAGGAAACTGTCCCACCTGACCCTGAGCTCAGTGAGAATAGTGAACGCATGCGTTTTGTTGTTTTTCCAGCTTCTAGCTAAGTTTGCTAAGTTGGTTGATAGCACTTACTCAGGCATAATTCAGGCCTTTAAAAATTGTATTATAGTGACGGACAATCACTTAGAACAAATCGGTGAAAAATAAGCAAGAAAATTGAGCTGCAAAACCTTAGACTTAGAACATGCAAAAACCTGACACTTAGAACATGATAAACCCATCACTTTGTCCGTCACTATTCAAGGTTGGGTAAACATTTCAGGCGATTGGGTTGAAATGCTGTAGGGTCGCTACGAGGAGCAAGGATGCTACTAGGGGCTCCCGGCCTTACTACTAGGAACAAGGTTCGCTACGAGCAAGGACGCTACTAGGGGCTCCTGGCCTTACTACTAGGAACAAGAAGCTATTAGTGACAAAGGGCATCGCCACTATATAGGAGCAAGGGTGCTACTAGGGGCTCCTGGCCTTACTACTAGGAACAAGGTTCGCTACTAGTAACAAAGGGCATCGCTGCTAGGAGCAAGGATGCTACTAGGGGGTTGTACTGTGTATGTTCTAAGTGCAGGATTTCAATTGTTCTAAGAGCAAGGCTTAGAACGCATTTGTTTTGTTCTATGTGTTGGGTCCTCGGCATGTTCTATGTGACTATTTTTTGGTGAAAACAACTATGTTCTAAGTAATTGTTCGTCACTATAATAATCGTAATAACAGTCAATCCAGCTTTTGTTGACCATGTTGACCTGGCACAACGAAGGATGGACAGTGGCACAAGTGGGAGGAGGTCTTGCGGCCAGATGGAAGGCTCGCGATTTTCTGGAAGGACTTAAGGAAGCTCCTCCAAGAAAAGCCTCCTCGCCATGGAGGGATGCTCCCACCACCCGCCGAGTGGCATTCGGTGCCAGAGGTCATGGCCACAGTGCTGAAGCATTGCGTGGGTTCAGACTTGCAGTTGGATCCTCAACAGGGCCTCCTCCGAAAGCCTGAGCCTGCTGCACCTGCCGCTCCACAGGCACCGTCCGGTGAGTCCAGTGGGGCAGCTGAAGCAGCTGTGCCAGAGGTCAGCGAAGAGCTCACACAGACAGAGGAGGCTGAAGATGTGATTCATGGCCTCAGCAAGCAGCGCGATTCCGGGGCTTATTTGGAACTGGGCCATGTGACACAGAACATTCAGAAGCGGAGTGGGCAGACGGACAAGATCTCCAAAAAATGGTATGAGCAATACAAGCTCTCTTTCGATGTGCAGAAGGTTGGGTCTTCGGACTTTCGAGTGAAGCTCACTCCAAGTGGGTACAAGAGAGCTGAAGTGAGGAGTATAGAAAGAGAGCGGGAATGCCTCAGAAAGCAGGAGAGGGATGTGGCTGAAGCAGTGCTCAAACGCCTCCAGCAGCAGCAGGATCTACCGCGAACACTGCGTGAACCTGAGCTGTGTGCACTACTACTTCTTGCAGGTGAAACTTCATCAGTTTCATCTGACCTGCCTGCGATGATCTTAAAGCGCCTTTGTGCCAAGCCTGAAGGTGGTAAGGGCGTCTCTGCGGCCGATCTGCTTGGAGCAATCCGACCCTTCAACACATCTCAGGTGCAAAAAGACCAATTATAATCAATTAATATCAATTTATATATACAAGATTTTGCACGTTTTGGTTTTACCATGTTGGGCAATGCGGATTATGAACAGTAGGTAATGGAATATTTGTTCCCCTAGGTTTTGGCAACACACTTCAGGTGATGAACGCCATCGTTTCCTGTTCAAGGCTTTTTCGATTGCCCAATTTCGACGAGGACTCCTTGGTTGCTATCATGCAAGCGGCAGCCTTGGACATGCATGACACCGAAAAGAACCCTCGTCGCTTTTGGGCTCCCCTTCAAGTGGTTCGTGATTGTGTGCTGTCAGCTGGTCGAGCTCCCTTCGTAGATCTCTTCAAACAGAGAAAGTCACCCAAAGACAAGATGCTTGTGGCTTCCGCAGCCTTGCGGGTGAGCATGGAGGTCTCCAAGACGGAGGAGAATGCCTGCCCTGTTTGCCTCTCAGATGGCTACAGCAACTTCGAGCCTTTTGCTGAACTGTGTGCGGCACTGGCCAATCTGTACTATCTCGTCTCGCCCCATATCCAAGAAGAATCGGTGACTGAGGTGGCTTGCTCTTGTTTCTTTTTATCTCGTAAATCCTGTGTTGATCGGCCCGAGCCTCATTGCACCTCGCAGTTCAGCCTTTGTTCTTCAGGCCTTTGATAAATTGGCGATGGCATGCCAAAGCTTTTGCAATTGCATCTCCAACCGGAAGCCTTCTGGGTTGGCTCGACTGGCCTATGCCTTTGCGACGATGGGTTCCTTCCACCAGAATCAGAAGCAGGTCACAGCTTCCCAGCTCGGCTTGGCGCAAGTCTGCAAGGCCAGAGATGAAACAGACAATTATGTTAGCCTACAACCTAATGGGCCAGAGATGAAGACACTAAATACGCGATTCCAGATTCTAGATCTGAGTGGGTGTTCTGGTGCAACCTGAGCTAGATCTTGCGTTATGCAATGGTACAAGATTGGTTGGATGGACTTATGAGGCATTTGAACCGCATGAGCTGCTGACTCCAGAAGGCTCCCAGCCTCCAGTGACTAACTTCACGCAACGTTGGGTAGCGTGAGGGGACAATATGAGAGACCCCCAGGGTTGCATGAATGAAACCAGTTCCAATGGGTCAGATATGCTAGCAGCATTTGCTAGAACCCTTCTGATGCCCCGGAGGTGCTTCTAACTTCAGTTTCTTGGCATTTGACCGAGCTGAGCGCGTGAAAACACACATGGGAGTTGATCGAAAACCCCGTGTAAGGAGTTTTATATAAAACAGCCTTTCAGATGTTGTTAGAACCATCCGCGAAAGATTCGCGATGAGGTTCGCGAAAGTATTATTTTTTCCGCGAAAGATTTATCGAAGGTCATCGCTTTCATACGTTTTCCTTTCTAAGGGACTGACAAAGAATAGAAATAGAAGGCAATCTTCCGGCAGAGCCGGTGGGCGGAAGTGCCCCCATATGTCACAGACTAACGAATTGAAGCCTCAATATTTCCGTGCCCAGCCCTGGCAGTGCGTAAAGGATTCTCCGATTCCTGTCCCCACTGTCATAGACAAGCAACCTGAGTAGGCGCAGCCCTGACAGTGAGGCAACGACCTGCAGCTGCTCTGACGGGCTGTGCAGATGTTTGCATACGGCTTCCCCGGGAAAGTGCCAGTGAAATTTCGCGAAAGATCCGCGAAAGTTTCGCGAATGTGCCGCTAAAGTCCAGGTCCCCAGCTTGAGGCCCCCCAACATTCCCCAAGCTGCATCACCCTGTGTTGGTAGCTGGCACGAGGATTGGGTTGAGTTGCGCCACAGATGCTGCAAGTGACCCTGAGTAGCTGTGGAAACATTCAACCTTCTACTGTGGTCATGCTGCAAGATGTCTGTCCCTATTTTGTGATACTATGACATGTTCCGGCTCATGTTAGCTAGATATGGTTGTAGGACCATGCTTCGCGATGAGGCCGCGAAAGATCCGCGAAAGATATCTTTTTTCCGCGAAGAATGGCCATTCCAGGATGAAAGAATATTGATCAACCACCACATACACAGCCATTGCCAATGGCCGAGACAGGCGTGGCACACTAACGTAAGTTACTACCGTCGGATGCACTCCAACCGAGTCATTTCACCCGAGTGTGCTACGCTGCCGGAGGATGTGTCCTTTCTGCGTGATTCGGCTGCGTGTGTGCATCACTCTTTGCCTGAGATATTAAAAATTATTAAAGATCCCCGTCGATTGTATGCATTTGTGCCGACAGGCGTGTGCACCCTGCAGAACCATGCAGAAAAGACACCCGCAGCATTCCCGCAACAATTCATTGTATGTGGTGCAGCCTTTCTATCTCGGGATTTTTCAGGAACTTCCCAAAGTAGCGAACAAGGCAACAGGTCAGGGGCAGTTTTTCCTCGTTTTAGTTTTCCAACCAGCTGAGCTGGCCGGTCGGATGCAAAGTAGTGCCGGAATTTGGGTGCGGGAGGGAGTCGACAACGTCACGAAATCAAACCAGATTCAGGCCTCTGAGATGATAAAGAAAGAAAAGGGCAGTTCAAAAACATGGTAAGCAATTTGAACAAGAACATTTCAAAGGAATAACATCCTGACCAACCGAGAGTCCGATGACTTCCAAAAATGCAAACTCCGTCAAAAAGGAACAGCATTAAAGGGCAAGTGAAGCCATCACAGCTGTAAGCAATTGGTGAACCATCTAAGCTCAGAAAACATGAAACGTCATAAGCGGTATTGTGTGGCGTCATGTATTAGGCCGCTTGCCAAAACCCCTGGAAAGTCCAAGAAACTTGGACGAACTGATTATAACACCGAGGACATGAAGGAAGCGAATGGGTGGCATCTAGCTGATTTGAACACCATCGCTGCCAGCTATGCCACCAGTACGCTGAAGGACGAGAAGCTCTTCTCGAAGCTGGCGGCGGCCACAGCAGAGATCTCGCCAGAGAAGCTGATGCTCGGTTGCGGTGCCGTGTGGAAGCTGGTGCACCGCTGGACGGCTGGCAAAACAGCTGGTGCACTTCAGCCTTTTCCGACTTCCCACATGTTATTGGGGCGCTAGGATGCTAGATACATCATTAACACACACACACATGGAACCGCGCTGAGGAAGCGGGATCAAGTGCTGAAAACGATCCACAGCTTCAACCGGGCTGGATTTCTGAAGAAGCTGGAGCCGCCACTTGACACCCACTGGGCTATAGGTCAATAGAGTCAAAAGTGAACGCCCAACGTCGAGTAGATGGGTGAATTTTCTTGGTTTGGCCCATTCAGTTCATTGTTGGCTGCGCACAATCCCCAAAAAGTTTAAACGCATGTAGGCTGGTGGCAAGACCACATTTAATGATATTAAATGCTTGAATGACCTGGAGGAAGAGTTCGAGAGGTTTGCGCACGTTCAAACTGCTTGGTGGGCGTTCTTCCGTGTGCGGCCATTCCTCAACGTTGAAATCTTTCACTTGCAATGAGGTTCCTGAAGCAGTTGGCAGCAAAGAGCTGGTTCAAAAAGAACTTGGCAGATCCCCAAGAGAAGCAAGAGATGAAGGAGAAGATGACATCTGGGTGTCATTAGATAAATGTTCTGTTGGTCGGCAAAGCCAACATGGGACTTAGAACAAAATAGACAGTGGCATTTTCAGGTGGCACGCCAAACATCACACATGTGCAATCATGTGCGTGGCATACTGACTGGTGCTTAGTAGGGAATGAGGGAATCTGCCCCTAATAGAGGTTCCTTTGGATATCTTTGGATCCAGCCACCCTCATTCCCGACGAGTCGCACAAGTCAGATGTGCATGGGTTGCAGGGTTGCATAGTCTAATGGTGTTTGGTTTCCAGGACGTTCCCGCACTTGTGGCGGGAATGATTTGCTCACAAGACTTTTCCTCGCTCGACGAAGTGGAGAAGCACCTGCGGAAGGACGGATGCGCCATCTTTGGTTGATTATGCGTGCTGCATTCTGTCACAAGATAAACAATATGGGGTCTAAAACATGCGGTCGTGTTGAGGAAAAGCAATGCATATTTCAATATATTTCATATTGTCTTGGTTCAAAGGCAGTTTGTACACAACTTCCTCGTCCAACGTTACACTTCTTTGTGAGCCTTGATTGATGGTTTGGCGGGACACGGGAGCCTGAAGCGAAGGACCGAAAGTCAGAGGTCCCGATGAGCACGCTGGTTTCGATCGTCAGGGAGCTATCAGACAACAGCAACACAAAGGCGTCCGAAGAAGCGTCAGAAGTTGCTTTTACTTTTGCGGATGATATTCGGTTCTTTAAATTCTTGACTTTGTGTCATGAGAGCTTCTGACGTGGTTAGCTTCCAAAGCTTCTTCAGGGTTTCAGGTCTTCATCCAAGGCCTTCTTGGGCGCTGTGTGGTTTGTGTGATATTGGTTTGAGGCTGTGAACCTCAAGCGCAGTGTGCTAAATATGGTGGTAACAGCAATGAAAGGATTCTCGGCAAGCAGGAATTCGTTCCAGAGCTCTTTGGATGACAAAAGCATGGGAGGACCCTTTCTTTCAAGTGCTCTTTGTTCAAGGGCACATGCTGGAGGTTTGTCCATGAACCAAAAATATCCGCAAACGATGACCCTGCTGTCAGTCTTCCACCATTTTACCCTCTTCTCATCTGAGGAAGCAAAGCTCCACCAAATGATGAATTGGAAAGACTTCTCCAAGTTGGTTGCTACGAAGACGAAGCTTCTCTCAGCTTGCTGCGGGAGGTGTGCTGCAACAGCGCCTCGGCAAAGTCAGAATGAATCGAATTTGTCCGAGCGCTGACTTCCAGTGCTTGCATCTTTTTTGAAGGAGAGCGCTGGTGCTGTAGGTGATGGGAAGACATTTCGATAGTAATTGAGAGAGGAACCACACAAGCAGAAGACTTCCTGAAAATGGTCGTACCAACCACACGAAACAAACGTGCAACAAACGTCCGGGTATTCGGCCCAGGACGTCGATTAGAATCTATACCAAGAGCCACTGCAGGCGTGGAGTTGCTTGTGTTGGCCCAGTGAAACGAGGGCAGTCCTCAAAATT